TCAACTATTAGCTAGGTTCTTATCTAGGTATTTACGTAATATAGCAAGCTCTCTTTTACTAAGGTTGTAGAGTAGCCTAAAAGGAACCTTCTTGCCCTATATAATATCGATCTTATAGTCCGTCTCTTTAAATATAGGTAATGTTAATGCTAGGTAGTATTTAAACATATTAATATAGGTCTCTCGAATAGGCTATAGTATACGAGCAAGCTAATTAGGGTCTATACTATTAGGGGGCATAGGCTTATCGTTATTACCTAATAGGTCGACTATTAGGTCCGCTACGGTAGGTATTAGGTTGCCGATAAATAGGACCCTAATATCGTTAGGGCACTCGCTAACGTCGATATACTTAATATCCTCTTTCCTAGCGATTCTAAATCGCTACTATTAGAGGCCTAAGTCTATAGTTATAGCGTAGTACTTAAGGACAGGGTTGCTAATAATAATAGTAGCTCCCCTATATAGGTTATCTATATCTACTACGTAGGTAGTAAAGTCTAGTAGGCGCTTATTTCCGAGGTCGTTCTTTAGAACTATAGGAATATAGTAGGCCTTATAGGTTAAGTGCCGGGCGTTATTAAACTAAGTAAGGGTTAGTAGATTAGCCCTATTTAATTGTCGAAGGTCTAATTGCTTAGCTAGGCGATAGCTAATAAGGGCACTAACTGAATTTCCTAGATCTAGCGTAACCTTAGTTTTATAATTAGTGCTCTAGGTGTCTTATATAAGGCAGGTGCGTATAATAGCTAGCATAATGTCGATAGTTTTACGCCGCACAAGGCTAATAGTTAGTGCGGCGCTTATTCTTTTTTCGAAGGTTAGCCTATAGAGGTAGCGTTAGCTACTAAAAGGTGCTTTCGGTACTTAGCGGTAGTACGGTCGATTCGGGCCTAGTCCTTAGGTTTGTCGCATTAGCCTAGTAGATAGCTAGTGCTATTATAGTTAAAGCACTTCAATCCGGTTAGGGGATTGCTATAGCCGCTATTGCTACTATTGTTAGTTAAGCGATTAGTATAGTAGGGATACGAGCCCCTTCTACGGCCCCTATCGCGGCCTCCTCTATATAGTCGCTAGCTACGGCCTCTTCTACGGTTATTGTTACTATTCCTATTATTAGTACTATTGTTTTAGTAGGAACCTTAGTTTCCCCCGCGGCTACAGTTACTACGGTTAGTACTAGCTAGTCGGATCCTCGATTCTAGTCGTTACTAGAGCTACTACCTCTAAGCTAGATAGCTCGTTTAGCTGTTTCTACTTCGACTATAAATTAAATGCGTGTTAGATTAGCTTGTTTAAATATACGGCGACGGTCTAATTCGAGGACAAGCTCCTATCTAAGCTTTAGGCGTATTTCCGACATCTATATAGAATTAGTCTTAGCCGGAAGGTTATCTTCGAGGGTCTTTAAATAGGCTTTAAATAAGCGAGCCGACTAATTAGTCTTTTGTTTAGCTCGAAGGTACTAGTTCTAAGTATATTATTGCCTTAGTATAGGGTTTCTAAGGGTGTCTAGTATAATAGTCTTATAGGTTTGCTACTAGACAGCGGTCTGATTATTAAGAGAGTTAAAATAGTTATCCTAGGCGCGTTTTAGGTCGCTATTAATATACTATATAGCGTAGACAACTAATAAATAGTCGTCTAGAAGGGCCCTCGGTGCATTTCGCTAGTTAAGCTCGCAGTTACGAATATAGTCGTTATATTGCTTTCGACTAGAGCTATTAAACACAGTATAGTCCTTAAGTTTAGCATCCTTCTTTTAGATAGGGACGGGTAGTAAAGAAGGCCCTGCTACTAGTTTAGTATTAGTTATTAGAGACTCCTATAGGCGGCGAATCTCGAGGAGGTTATCCTTTAGCTACTACTCTTAGCCTAGGGCAGTAGGCCTGTTTTTAATAGCTTCTTAAAGTCTCCCTACTAGTTAGGGCCTAAAGGCTAGTTAGCTATATCGTCGATTAATAATGTTATTAAGAATATCGTTAATAGGCAATTCTAGATTATTACCCGGAATTGTGGGTTCTTTATTAATAGGCTCTATACTACTAGTGTTATTATTACTAGCGCTACTAGCGGCGCCGCGGTTGTTGTTGCTTTATAATAAGCTAGCTATCGTAAGGGTTAATACTAATAATATATTATAGGCCCCTATAGTGCGGATATAGCGGAATTAGTAGATATCGACCTAGTGCGATTAACTTAGTATAATAGGCCGTATAGAAGGCCTTGCTTAATAATTGGTACGGTTGTTTTTAATAGAATAGTACGTATAGGTCCCGTTCTTTAGGCGTAATATAGTTAAATCGATAGTTTTCGTAGCTATACCGCTAAAAGCTTAAAATAAGGACTATCTAGCTACTACCCTTAAAGGGTAGATCGAATACTATATAAGAAGGGTATATTAGCAGGTAGATAGGGTAGTAGTAGGTACAAGTAGTATTCGATAAGGATCTAGGAGGAGAGGGAGGAAGGTAGGAGAGTTAGCCTAACGCTAAGCGCTAAGCCCTGCCTAAGGTATTAAGACCCTAGCTTTACTCGGCCTAGTTATATACTAATTACGTATAGCCTCTTTAGCCCTAATAACGAGAAGCGCTCGTAAAATAGAGCAGGTACTATAAACCTACGTAGGAACCCCTAGACTATATCGTAGATACCTTAGCGCTAGACGACTTCGAAGCGAAATATAGACAAATCGAGGCGAACGATAGGCCTTTAGAAGACTAGGAGAAGAGAGGAAAGCGAAGGAAATAACGCGGTAACCTAGAGTTTTTCCGTAGAGCAATAATTATTAATTTATAGATTATAGGGATTTTTACTAACCTTCGGAGTTTTTACTAACTTATTAGTTTTATTTACGAAATATTTTAGTTTACTAGAGAGACTAGAGAAAAGAGATATATTTTAGGATAGAGAAAGATTTTATTTAGGTATTTATAAGTAAGTATCGGGTCTCTACCCGAAATTAAGAGGTCCTCTTAGGATAGAAAAAAAAATAATAATACCTCTAAAACTACCTAGAGCCTACTAGAAAACCTACGGAAACCCTTATTAACTAGTAGGCTGCTCCGGCGGGCCTTAACGATTAGTACCGAGCCGGAGAGTAGTAGGAATACCCTTAAAAAAGGAGATTAGTAGCGAGAGAAAATCAAAGGATAGGAGAGGAACTTACGTCTAAGTCTATTAAGCTACGACATTAGCGACGGTATTCGTTACCTCCGAGGCGATAGCGCTAAAAGAAATAGTTAGCGAGGGTTTTGTCGCGGGAAACGGGGAATCTTACCTAGATAATAATCCCTACGGCTAGAGAGACTTTAAGGCTTTCTATACCTTAAGAACCTTAAGAAGCTCGGAGTGCTTCTCGGCGATATTACTACGGGTCGCGCGAGTATAGCTAGCGTAAGCTACGTAAGCTATTTAAAGACTAAATAGTTAGCGAGGGTTTTAGTATAGGAATCGCGAAAAACTTATAGTAGGGCGTAAGCGATTCTCTTACGAGCGCAATTAGCGTAGGCCCTCGAGCTAGCGGGCTTAGGAAAAGTTAGCGAACCCCGCGACAAATAGAGCAGGTACCTTATAGATTAATCGGCGCAGTCCTCGCTAGAGTTATAGCAACTAATATAGTAGATTCGACGAGCTATCTAGGACAAGTTAATTTTACGAAGGAAATCGCAGAAGATAGGAAGGGACTTGCTATAGTAGTAGTAGTAGTAGTAGGGGTATATATAAAGAAAAGAAGAAGAAGAGGAAGAAGAGGGAAATATTAATACTCCTAGAAAGCGATATAGAAGCAAGGGTTGCGAAAGCAAAGGAAGGCGCGAATATAAGTAAAGCGTTTAAAAGCGTAGTTACGGCGCGTTTTAGAAAGTAGTAAGTAGGTAAAAGAGCGCGATTTAGTAGTCGCGAAGAAAGTTATAGTCCTTAAAACCTAGGATACGGCAACCCCGACTAGAAAATAGCGGAAACCCTAATCGTAAAGGAGAAAACTATAAGCGCGTTACTTTAGAGAAGCTTAGATAAGTATAGATCTAACGGATAAAGTAATAGCGATAGAAACTACGAGGGGCTTTCTATCTTTACTAAAGAAGGGGAGGAGGACAGGAATAATATAAAGGGCTGCGCCCTAGGTAGAAAGCGCTAGCCTTAGGCATTCGGTCTACGCGACTCTAACCTACTACTTAGCGCTTAGCGTACTATATAAAACTATTCGGATTTACGTAGATAGACTTAGCTCTTTATCGAACCTATTAAGTCTTATATCTAGTATCTACGTACGCGTTACTTACCTATAATACTTACGATAGCGCTATAGCTACTAGATCTTAGTACTACTTAGTCGGTAGGCCTATTAATAACCTTCTTTATACGCTAATATACTACTAGCTATAATAAGAGTAGTTATATTACTCGGCGGCGGTAATAGGAAGGGTTCTAGCGATAAAGGACCGGTCTCTATTTACGATAATAATAGCGGCTACGATATCTACGTAACTACTACTAGCGGCTATAGTAGCGGCGACGACGATAACGACCCTTCCTTCGACTAGTATATCTTACTAGCGATATAATATCTATAATAATTACTATAGAAGATAGAAACTAGCTAGTTATCTATATACTATAGGAATTCGTAGAATTCGGCGGTCTCGATAGTAGCCTCTCTAGATATAGCGGATACCTTCTTAGAGTAATTAGATAGCTTTAGTATATTACTAGATTAGCTTATAGTAGTCGTTTATTTAGTATCTACTATATACGATAATCTATATTATAAATTAAGGGTAGTAGTAGAGGCGCCTTAGTATTCTTAGGGTTTTTATACCTAAGAATAGCTTGATTTTAAGGAGCGGAAGTTATAGCCTATACGCTACATAGCAAGGCTTACGCATTTGCTAGGTTAATCTCGATCGGGGTCGCTCGGGTCGGTAGCTGCTACGGCTAAGCTCAGATTCGTACTGAGCTCCTTCTAGAAGTGTTAGGAATCGAAGTCACGAAATCAACTTCTATGCAAAGGCGAGTCTCCTAACGCCTACGCTATGACCTCGCTCGCTCACTTGAGCCGCTCAAAGGGTATCTCGTCTCAGTCTGGCATTATAGGCACCTCGTTATGCTCTGCGTCCGTACACTTCTTACAGAAACAAGTGGGAAAACGAGAACGCTCCCATATCCCATCTTCTTTATTTTCACATGACAGCACACTTACTGTCGCTCTTGGTCATCCACGTCATCATGCTCTTGGTTTCCATGATGCTACTGTTTTCGTAAATCTCGCGTCCATACATTGGAGTGAAAGGATCAGGTTTGCGGGACTTTTTGAAGAACCCAAGCCTTTTTGCTTTGGCCGTAGAAGGGAAAGCGCTCTTGCCCGCCAAGCTGCTCTTCCGACTGTGTGAGCGACGAACGCTTCCATAACTGCTTCCCAGCGGTTGAGAAGTGGAAGCTGCCGGAGGATGCCAGGCCGTAATGGGGTGCGCGACGCTGCTTGCGTTTGACTTCGGTTGGCGTAGCGGGACGTGGTCGGAGGGCTGCGTGGGAGGGAACAGTGACGCAGAAGCATTGGCTGCTGCGGCATTGCGGAACGCTTGCATGTGAGGCGGCATTCTTCGAGCGGCTGAAGGAGCGGTCATCCCAGGCACAGTCGCAGATGAAGCGCCCGACGAGGTGGATGCTCGCGGCGGTGGCATGTGCCCGGGAGGATTGAGCAGTGAGGTCGAGTATCGGTACGGATTGGCACCATTTGGAGTTCGGGCGAATGATGCGAGTGTATCACTAGAAGCCACTGGAGATATCACATCCCATGCTTCACTCTCCGGCACACCGCTAATTGAGGTCTGCTCGTGCGAGCTGGATGGCGCGTGGCCGATCGGACTGACGGCATTACTCCAGTCACCATTCAGGCTCGGCGGAGCATAGTTTCCGATCGGCGAGACAGCGTTCGCATTGCTGTAGGCGCGCTGCAGGCTTCTGGGCAGCGACGAAAGAGAATCAAACGTGCCCTGACGAGCTGATGGGGCAAAACGCGTGAAAGTGTCTGTTCGAGCATCAAATGTTCCTGCTCGCGTGAGTGGGTTGACAGCGTCACGAGGCGGGGCGTGCGAGTCATTTGCGCCATATTGCGAGTTTCGCTGCATGCTGGCAGGTATCGAGCTTGGCGTCGAGACTGGACTGTGCAACAACGTTGAGTTGCGTGGTTCCTCGATGATCGTTTCAGTGGTGGTGGTCGGATGATGTCCTGCCGCGAGATTCGCTGTGGCAGCTCGAAAGGCAAGATCTGCGCTGAAGTTCTCGCCGACATCTGGCGGTGCTGTATGAGGGGTGGCGGAAGAGCTAGAGCTCGGGCTTGGAGCGCTCGCACTGCCATTCACCGTGGTGACAATAGCAGGCTTAGGGCGGTTGAACACAGCAGGCGCGTCTAGTCCAGCCATCGCCCTAAAACGACTGGGCAGAGGCGCGTTGGGCTCCTCCGTGTATTCAGGCAAAGGTAAGAAGTGTCCTGACGAATCCACACTGACACGCTCCTGTTGTCTCTCCTCCAGCGTCTGAAATCGATGTCTCTGCGCATTCGATGCCGCCCGCTGTAAAGAAGCTTGTGATCGTGGTGCGCCTTGCACATACGGCTCCTCAAAGGCCTCGATGGCTGCTTCATTGCTCTCCTGCAGATCCGGCAAACTACGTGCGGCCTCCGATTGAAGACTTCCAATGGAGAGCATACTATTGCGGCTGCGACTCATGCCGGCTGCGCTGACAGCTGGACTCATGCCTCGATTATTCCTATTGCCATGCATTGTCGCAGATCGACCCAGTGTCGCCGGTCGTGCGTTCAGTGCGTTGCTTCTGTTTTGGTTCACCGTCCTCCGTCTCACCAAGCTGATCGCCTCCGAAACATCCATCTGCTCTTCCTCCAGCATTTGAGGAGGTGACTTACCCAGCGTCAGATTGAAGGTGACGCCGGGCTGGCCAGCAAATTGCGGATCGAAGTCGAACAGTATGATTCTGCCACCTTCGATCTCCTCGACACTCTCCTCGCTGATCCCGTTCTCAGTAACGCCACCAGGGCTCGTAACAATCAGCCGGCCTTTGACAGCTGTCTTATTGTCCAGAGGTGCGGGTAATGATGCAGAGCTATAGACCCACCGTGCTTCGCTAAAAGGACATCCGTAACCCTCATCTAGTTCGTGGTCAATACTGTGTGCCTCGACCGAAGTTGCGTCCTCGTCAGCCTTGTGCGGGACGATGTAAAGGCGGATGGTCCTGTCATTGACGATCATCGCTACTGTATCGCCATGCTCGTCCATGGCCGGACAGCTGTGGATCGCCGCTCCAAGACCTCCACACGTCGATAGCGGTGGCGATATGACTACTGGGAAGTCAATAGTGCCGTATTGCATATCGGCAACGTTCAGGATGCCAAATGTGTCCTCTAAGCCATTCCATGCAAACAGTCGTTCATTGGTCGTCTTCCGGTCTTCTCTCATGAAAGTGGCGTGGCTCGAGTTTCTGATATTCTCTGGATGCAGGAGCTCGGAGCACCACGCTTCTCGCAACTCTTCGTGCGTAGGCAGGCCGTTGGCGTGCGAAGGGAACACGGGGACCGAAACGACGACGGTCGACGAAGCGTTGATTCTTGTGGTCGTTCCCAGTAATGTTGAACCGTCATCCGAGAAGCTGATCCGATCCATCTTTACGCATCGAACGGCTCTTCGGTCGGAAGGAGTTGCCTCGGGATGCAAGGAGAAGACCTCAATGCCGCCCTCATAGGCTGCGGCAAGGAGACCTCCAGTTGGAGCCAAGGCAATGGTGCTCGTTGGGAAGTCGAGCTTGATGGTGCGTGACCTCTTGAGCACATGTCCCAATTCGTAGACGTTGACAGTATGATCATCTGCCAATATGGCGATCGTTGTGCCTTCATCGACGAGCTCCACGGCTAACGGAGTCCGCTTCAACGCATAGTCCTGTGTGATGCCTACTGGCAGTGCTGCGGTCTGAAGCACGTACAGGCGGGCACTGTTGTAAACTGCTATCCTCCTGCCTCCTGGCGATATTGAGAAGCCGAACGCTTCACCGGTCGGAAAGGCGGCTGAAGCTGTGGCCGTGTTCGAGAGCAGCTTGATGACATGTATGCGCGGGCGATTGGGTTCGTCATCTTGGGCAGACTGCCAACTGTAGCGCACGCGGTCTTTGGGATGTGCGATTTGGGTGGTGTTATTGTAGAATGAGTTTCGCGTTGAAGGTCGTCGTTGCGGAGGTGTATTCATGGGCGCCTTCGATATGGAACTTCGCAAATTGCTGAAGGCGCATTGCTGCTGTTCCGGCGTGTTGGGCGCCAGAGGGATTGGTGTGGCTATATCTCGAAGTTCTCCCAAGTCATCCTCCTCCATGTCCATTTCTGGCCCATTGACCCCAGCACTCGGCCTTTCCTCGCACGCTTCTATTTCCGGCTGAGGAGCGATGCTCGGTGAAAGTCTTGCCTGGGAGGCCTGGTCAGATGGTATTGCCGAGACTCCGGAATGTGGATGGTGTGATGGAGATTCGAGATGGCGGTGCGCTGGTCTGGATGGCGTTGCATTGTGAACAGATTCCTCTCTGCGAAGAGCTTGGGGAGTTCGCAACGTTTCAAGCGAGCCAGGATGATCGATGTGGTCGTCGGCGTCGGCGTCGGCGTCGGCGTCGGCATCGGCGTCGTGGGTCACATGGTGCTCGGTGGTGTAGGTGGGACTGTCGACGGGCATGGGCACGGGCATGGGCATGGGCATGGGCATGTTGATGTCGTCGACGCTCGTCAACACCGCCGCCTGCTCCACCGCTTCCTGCTCCAGCTCCGCCCTCGCATGGTGCTGGAGCACTTTGGCTGGCTCGCGGGCACTCGCTTCTGTCGGCGACGAAGCGAGGGGCCAGTCTGGAGGGTGGTGGTGGTGCAGGCCAATGCCGTGCAGGTCCTGCATGTCGCTCATGGCGCGCCGTCGTTCGTCAGCACTGGCATTGATGCGATGCTGCGTCGAGGTGCAACGTTGGATCAAGGCTCCACGAGAATGAGCAGTATGGTGGTGTGGAGAGAAGGTTGAAACGGGCATGGTGATGCAATGCGCTCCGTGCTGGCGCACAGTATCCCGAACAGGCAGATTATTGCATGCAAGATCCCCGGCGGCGCACGAGAGGCCAAACCTCAAACGGAGGCGTCAGTTGCCGCAGGATGCAGAGATGTTCAAACCTTAGTAAATAAGTAAATAGTAACTACTATATTAATAGTAATTACTAAATAGTAGTTGCTATTCTTATTACTATTACTATTACTAGAGACCTTTAAGAAATAGTAATAGTAGTAATACTAAAGTTAGTAACTTACGATAACTATAAAGAAACGTAAGGTATATATCTAATACGGCCGATAGGAAGCGCTCTAAGCTCGTTAAATTAACGTACCGTAGACGCGTATATTAGCCTTATATACTTTTTTAAGCAGTTATTAACTTATTAATATCGTTTATTCGGCGGATTAAATAGTAGTTATTCGTTAGCTTAGAATAGTTAGCTCTTAGCTAGTTTGCTAACGTAGCAATTGCCTCTCGAAATAGCTCTAATACTCGACTTAACGATCTCTACTTATTTAGCTATTTCTTACTATTAATATATAGCCGATAGCTCGTCGAATATAGTATCGTAGTAGGAGGTATATTAGTAGTATTAGAAAGAGCTAGATTTAGTAATAGAGTCGAAGGTAATAGAGCTATAATAACTAGACGCGGTAATAATAGACTTATAATAGCTACTAGATCCTAAAGCCGCTACGATATAATACGGAGTATATTACTATATTGTCTTAGACCTACTAAGCCGGAGTCTTATAAGTACGTAACTCCTTAGTAGTAAGTAGCTTATCGCGGAGCTTATTATTATTATATTATATAGTATCCTTAAAGCGATTAAATATCTATTTAAACTCGGAGTTGTTAATAATAATACCGGAGGTAGTAAGAAGGGCTCTATACTCGAGAATACGCTTTATAATCTACCTACGAACAAAGCCGTCTATACCTCTAATAGCACTTTATCTAGTAGGTTAATTGTAATTTGTCGTTATACTATCTCTAATAGCGCTTTACTATATGTCTTATTCGTCCTTTTATATAATAGCTAGAGTTAGCCTCGAAGTGCTTAATAATTAGTAAGGCGAAGTCGTCGGAAATTATACTATTACTATTAACTCGATTATAGTCGTATTCTATACTTTCTTCTATACCTTTAGTAGAGGACTAAGAGTCGCTTAAATCTAGTATAGGTTGTTAGACTATAGCCTATTATTATCGCTCCGATCGCCGCTAAAGGTAAGCCGTTAAGGAGGTATCTATATCTCTAATAATAGCTAGCCTTAGTAGTGTTAAATTTAGTATCTAACTAGTAGTAATACTACTATAGCTATCGCTATCGCTATAGCTTAAATTAGTTAATAAGCTTGCTACGGACATAGAGCGGCTATATAGTAGCCGCTTAGCTAACTAAATTATAAGTAATAGACTTCCGGTTAAATGCTATAGCGCTAGTAAGAATAAAGAGATATCTATATAAAGAGGGTTACTTTAAAGAGCTATACGGATAGGTATAGGCGGTACCTATAGTAGATAGACTAATATAGCAAATACTAGTATAGAAGAGCCGGCGCCTAGGTCGATAATATAAGAGGGATAAGAAGGGGTATCTATAGTCGCTATAATCGAGAATAATAGTAGCTATACTAACAAACTAAGACTTCTACTACTTCTATAAATACCTCTTATCCTATAGACAATATACTATAATTAATTCTTAGATTTAGGTTCTATTAAGTAGCTCCTATTACTAATTATACTAACGGCTAGATACCTAGACCTTTATATATATAAGCTAGTACTCTCTCGTACTATCTCGAAGACCTAATAGCTACTTTCTACCTCGCTATCGCTAGCTATAGTATAGTAGCGCTAATAGGCTAATTTGCCTCTAATAAGCTAAGCCGGATAGAGGTTAAGCCTCCTTCTACTTCTAGCTAAGGCAGGATTACTACTCCTACAAGTTATAAGTATAGCGTATTATATGCTTTTAAACGGAGTCGTTTAAAAGCACGGTTTAGGCCTACGAGTTAATAACTCGTAGGGGTAGAAAACTAGCCTTCGAAGGATATAGTAGTAACCCTCGTATCTACCTTGTTCGCCGACGTCGAGAGATCCCTATAAATTAGGAGCTTCTAAAGGTCCCTAAAGGAGTAGTCTATATTCTGCTAATAGCTCGATAAGCGAGGTAGGGGCTTCCCGTAGAATTACGTCGTTCCCGGTAAGACCCTATTTCCCTATATTATCTCGCTTAATTTCCGCGCTTCGCATACTTCGAGATAAAGCTTAGTATACCTATACTAAATAAGCGGAAATCCCTAGACCCGTAGTAATTCGGTTTCCGAACTACTAAACGTATATAGTTTAGTTTCTTAGGGGCGAACTAGCTCCCTAGTTCCGGTTTAGTTTTTTCGAACTATATAGATTCCTAGTTTAAACTAGAGACTATATTAGTTTTACTATAAGGATACTCTTATTCGACTGCCGGCTACGATTGCCGGCTATAATAGTAACTATATTACATTAACTACGCTCTTTTGCCGTTACTAGGGCATAGTTGCTATTACTAGGGCGTAGTTTTACTATAAGGACACTCTTATTCGACTGCCGGCTACGATTGCCGGCTATAATAGTTACTAGGTTATATTTACTACGCTCTATTACCGTTGCTAGGGCGTAGTTACCGTTACTAGGGCGTAGTTGCCGTTACTAGGGCGTAGTTACCGTAGTTGCAAAAGCTTACCTATATAATATTACGTAGGCGGCAACAATTAGGGACTAGGGCTTCGCGATATTCTTATACCTTTTAACTTCTTCCTTTATATCTATACTAATAACAACTACTATACGCTACGCCTCCGCCTCTTTTCCTTATAATAGTAAGAGAGAAGCGCGCCGCGCGCTAAATAGAAGATAGAACTAAAGACCGCGAGTTTGTTTTGCCTAAGTATCTAACTAAAAAGCGTAAGACTAAAAAGGAATACTCTACGAAGAAGAATTCCGTACGAGACCGCAAGAGAAAGGAGAAAATAGATAAGGATAAAAGAGCTAAGGATAAGAGAAGAAAGGCGCGGAATAAGGTATTCTATCGATAGCTAGCGCCTATAGAAAAAAGTAAAGGTTAGAATAAGAAGACAACCTAAGAGAAGGCTAAGAGGAGGAAAGAATTACGGCTAGTTTTCGAGCGTAAAGTTCTAGTAGCGTAAGTTAATCTAGCTAGCGGCCGTAGCTAGCAGCTATAGCCGGCAGCTATAGCCGGTAGCTATAGCCGGTATATTTTTCTTTAAGACGTTAACTAATAGTATTTAGACCTATAGCCGCTACCTCTATCGATACGACCGATAGTAACGGAGATATTTAGATAGCCGAGAACAATAATACTAGAGTTTAGGATACCGCGATAGAGCTTAATACTACGAATAAAGGAACTAAAAAAAGCGAGGAGATACTATCCGTCGATCTAGTAATAGGTATAGTCTTAGGGCCTAACGCTATAGACGATAAGTACTAGGAGTAGATCGAGTATAGTTAAAGAGACGAGATACTAGTAAAGGGCTAAGGTATAAGTCCTATTAATCTAGAAAATTATAGTTAAAGCTACTATAAAAAGCTAGTAAGGATTGAAATCGAGACTAGTCGTCTTTATATTCTCGATATAGAGTAGAAGTTTCTTTATTAGTATTAGAGCGAAGCCTTTACGTCTATAAAGGCAAAGTAGCTTACGATTAATGCAATTAGGGCTAGGTATCTAGGGACGGTAGAAGTATTACTAAAGGAGGAACGGGTATAGGTAATTATTCTATACTCGGTATATATAGCCGGCGTTCGTAGCCGGTAGATACTAACAGTTTGTTAGGACTAACGAGGTTACACGTAATTAGTATGTAACTAGGCTCGAGTGAAGCTAGGGTCTTAGTGCCTTAGGCAGGGCTTAGCGCTTAGCGTTAGACTAACTTGCCTGCCTTCCTTCCTCTCCTCTTAGATCTCTATCGAATACTATACTAATTTACTACTACCCTATCTACCTGCTAATATAACCCTTCTTATATAGTATTCGATCTACCCTTTAAGGGCAGTAGCTAGATAGTCCTTATTTCAAGCTTTTAGCGGTATAGCTACGAATAAGACTAATCTAACTATATTGCGCCCAAAGAACGGGACCTATACGTACTATTCTATCGAAACAACCGTACTAATTATTAAGCAAGGCCTTCTATACGGCCTATTATACTAAGTTAAGCATACTAGGCCGATATCTACTAATTCCGCTATATCCGTATCTTAGGGGCTAATAATATATTATTAGTGTCGCCCCTTATAATAGCTAGTTTATTACGAAACAATAACCGTGCCGCCGCTAGCAGCGCTAGCAACGACAACGCTAGTAGCATAGTGCCTACTAAAGTGCCTACTAAAGCACCTGCTAAAGAGCCTACTACTAGAGAGCCTACTATTAGGCCTATTATAGAAGAACCTATAATTCTAGGCGATAATCTAGAATTGCCTATTAACGACATTCTTAATAACATTGTTAATCGTAGACCCCGTAGTAGTTCGGTTCGCGAACTATAAAACGTATATAGTTTGGTTTCTTAGCGGTACCCCTCCGGTTTAGTTCCGGTTTGGTTTTTTACCCCGCTAGTCTAGGCTAGTTTCCGAGAAAATCCGACTAAACTGCGACGATATGCGACGATATGCGACGACCTTAGATCTAGTCCGGAACGCGATAGGGGCCCTATATTGTATACGCTACACGATTGCATCTGTGTTTCGGGCTGTTTAGACTTGTTTTAGGTTAGGTTTTTGTCCGTAGCCGGCATGTAGCCGGCAAACCGGTCCGTGCCCTAGTTTCTTAGCAAACCAAACTAAACCAAACTAGAATTTCGGCTTGGCAAACCAAACCAAACCAACCCGAACTACTGCGGGGTCTAGTTAATCGACGATATAGCTAGCTAGCCTTTAGCCCTTAACTAGTAGGGAGACTTTAA